GCTGGTTACAAATGACCAAGTGAATGCCAGCTCCAAGGTTCTGCGTGTGGTCGGAGATAGAGAGTCATACCCAGGGGAGGGAATAAGGGAGGCTCAGTTATTGTCATTACAGCAACAACCTGGAATACTTAGAAGCATTTAAAAGAGGCCAGTGATAACAGACCCCTGCTGGCTGAGCCCAAGAAGCCTGAGCAGCAGAACTGGCCAGAAGAGTCAGGAGCACATGGTGAAAGTCAGGTTACCCCAGATTGCTCATCAAGGACTGTTTGCCTAGTTCTGGCCGGGAGGTTTTTAAAATCATGTATTATTATTATTTTTTTTAAAGGCACACATGCAGCAGAATGCAGTTCCTTCCATCTGATTTTTAGGTTAACTCTCAGAAACCCAATTGTTAGTAAAGAGAAAGAAATGCAAGAAGAGATGCATAATCTGCCAAGCTGTATGTGGAGTTTTTCTCCCCACTCATTCTAAGGACTATCATTATCTTTAGTTATATATAAGAACTTATATACCAAACTGACAAACAAAAATGGGGTATTTTTGTGTATTTTAGAGGGCAAGAGGCTATGGGTTCAGGTCAAGATGGATTTGAATACATAGCTCTGATCATTACTAGCTAGTTTAAATACCCAGCTCTGATTCTCGTGAGCAGTTAAACAGGGGCAGATTTATATTGCTGTTTACATTATTTACCATCTTTTGCCTCCATTTATGAATCTGTAAAATGGAGGTTAAAATGATTACTCATAATCTCATAGGATTGTGTGAGGGGTAGAAGAGACAATGGACAGAAGGCATTCAGAACAGTGCCTGGCACATAATAGACTCCATATGTTGATTGTTGTTGGCATAATGTGAGGATCCGGCTCTGGCAACTTAGGTCATACCAAGTAATTTTAAGGGAAAGTGATCAACTGGACCATATTAATCAAGCTTAGAAGAAAATCCAACTGTATCCTATTTACTATATTCTCGAAGCTAATGACAGTGAATTGAACAAATATGTATACTACATGAAGCTGAATTATTGGAACAGATGGTCATCAAAGATTTAAAATAAACACAGTAGGGGAGCGTGGGTGGCTCAGTCAGTTGAGTGTCTGACTCTTGGTTTCTGCTCAGGTCGTGCTCTCAGGATCGTGAGGACGAGCCCCACACGGGGCTCTGTGGTCAGAGGGGAGTTTGCTTGAGATTCTCTTCCTCTCCTTCTCCCTCTGCCCCTCCCCTTCTCTCTCTCTCTTTCAAATAAATAAATAAATCTTTAAAAAATAATAAAAATAAATACAATAAATAGAATCAGAGAGCTAATGGAGAACATTGGTAATACAAAGTGTGAATAAGAAATCATAAAGTCAAGGGGCGCCTGGGTGGCTCAGTTGGTTAAGCATCTGACTCTTGATTTCAGCTCAGTCATGATCTCAGGGTCCTGGGATGGAGCCCCACGTGGGGCTCCATGCTCAATGGGGAGTCTGCTTAAGGATTCTCTCCCTCACCCTCTGCCCCTCCCCTGACTCACGTGCATTCTCTCTCCAATAAATAAATAAATCTTTTAAAAAATCATAAAATCAAGAGGGACTATTAGAGTAAAACTAGTTGAAATAGATAAATAGCACAATAAATGGGATAAGTAGTAAGTAAGGTAGATGGAGGCCAAGGACCACGAGGAGCTGGAAGATCCATTTAGGAGAACTCTGCAAGTATAGCCGGAAGGGATAAAGAGCTGGGAAACAAAACACTGAGAGATTTTGGGGCCAGAAGTGCCGTTGAAGGAGAAATGTAACCAAACAAGCAAAAGGAAGAAATATTTAACAAATAATAGCAATATTTTCTCCAGAATTAAAAGAAGATAAAAGACGTCAGATTGAAATGACGTCCTTTCAATCCAGACTGATAAAGAAAATTCACATCCCAGCGTACCCGTCAGGACCCAACTAAACTTAAGAACATGAAAAACAATGAGGAAATTGTAAAAATTTCCAGAAAGAAAGATAATCAGACACATGACTTCGAAACAACAAAGGCAGAGCTAAAAGAGAAACGCTACGTGTATGGAAACTGAGTAACATGTTACAGAGAACCCCTTTGTCACAAAAAGACCTGATAGTGGAGGGTTCACAACATGCTCACGAAACACTTAGAATGCTGGGTGACAGTGAAAACACCAGCTATCAAAATTAAAAATTCTAAAAATGGAAAAGCTGCCCAACACTCTCTAATAAATAAATAAAATCTTTTAAAAAAATAAAAATAAAATGAAAATGCTATCCAGTTGTTTTCACTTTCATTTCTCTAATTACAAAGAACTCGGGATATTTTTGTTTGTCAGCCAGCCATTGAAGTTTTCTCTTCTGTGAAGTACTGTGTGTATCCTTTGCCCATTGTTAATGGATTTGCTCTTTGATGTGCAAGAGCTCCTTGTTACTCTAAATACTGGTCCTTGTCTACCTGAGTCACTGAAAACACTTAGACTCAGTAGGTTATCTGTGCGTTCCTTATCCACAGCGTCCTTTTTTGGGCAGAAATCCATTCTTCTGAGCCTTCACTTTCTGTTCCAGTCTTTCGACAATCTTTGTTCTAGTCAAGACTGGCTACATAATTGGCAGGGCTAATGCAAAATGAAAAGGCACGGCCTCTTGTTTAAAAATTATTAAGAATGTCAAGATGGTGACAGCAGATCACACGTAAAGCAAGTGTGGGGTCCGTGTGACTACACAGGTCACATGCCCGCGAAGCCAGTCCTGGTTCTAATAAATATCCCATTTATTGTGCTATTTATCCATATGGTTTTTATTATTATGGATTTGTAGTATATTGCCTATCTGCCTTTAGTCTTCTTTTGTTTTTTGGGGTTTTTTTAAAGATTTTATTTATTCATTTGAGAGAGAGCACGAGCTGGGGGAAGGGGATGGGCAGAGGGAGAAGCAGGCTCCCCGCTGAGCTGAGAGCCCAAAGTGGGGCTCTCGATCCCAGGAGGCTGGGATCATGACCTGAGCTGAAACCAGACCCTTAACCAACTGAGCCACCCAGGCGCCCCTGCCTTTAGTCTTCTTGTCAAAGTTGAGCTAGTTAATTTGTAGACCATTAAGGATTCATACAAATTTCAGAAAATTTGTATTCAGAAAATTTCACAAGAAGTTTATTGAGCTCCTTGGAATATCCAACTAAAATATTGATTGAAATTGCTTCAGATTTATAGATTATATGGGGTAAGTTGACATCAGTTTTGTATTAAGCCATCATTGGATGTCATGCAAATTACTCCAGTCTTTTTTTGTGTCCTTACATGAGATTTTACATTTTTCCTTGGTAATCTTAAATCGTATAAACAGTTCCTATTCTATTTTTACTACTTCTGTGTTTCAACTCTATACAAGCTTTTTTTTTTTTTTAAAGATTTTATTTATTTATTTGAGAGAGAGCGCACACATGAGCAGGGGCAGAGGGAGAGGGAGAAGCAGACTCCCTCGCTGAGCAGGGAGCCTTTTATGGGGCTCAATCCCAGGACCCTGAGATCATGACCTGAGCTGAAATCAGACCCTTAACCAACTGAGCCACCCAGGCGCCCCTGGATAGCATTTTAACTTTCTTTTTTTTTTCTTTCCTAAATAAGCTCTACACTCAATGTGGGTCTTGAACTCATGACCCTGAGATCAAGAGTTGTATGCTCTACTAACTGAGACAGCTAGGCGCCCCTGGATAGCATTTCATATCCATTCATTGCCAAAAACATGAAAGCTGGATGATGCAAAGAAGAAATAGGAATTGGCATCTCTGGGGAGGGTATACTGGGGGAGTCACTCTGGAGCACAATCTGGTGGGATTTACCAGTATTTATCTACTTTATGACTCAACAATCCCACTCACGGTTGTATATCTGGTGTGTGTTTCTGAGCGAAAGCCTCACGTAGGTCTGTATGGAGACATTCGGGGTGTTTCTGTGGGTGGAGGCCATCTCTGTGTCCATCACCCAGGGAATGGCTGAGTCTAAGATTCTGATGAATTATTACAAGTAGTTAGAAGGTCTGAGCATAGTAACACCATAAATATAGCATGAATAACACCACAGACGTAGCCCTGAGTGACATGTGTAGAAACAGGAGATCCGAAGCACAAAATCATTTATATAAATTATAAATACACTTACACAAAACAAGAACACCTACGAATGAGAGGACAGATGTCAAACGTACGGGGTGGGGGTAACAAGGAAGGGAGAGAGGAAGGGAAAGATGAAGAAAAATGAAAGAAGGGGCACCTGGGTGGCTCAGTCAGTTAAACGTCTGCCTTCGGCTCAGGTCATGATCCCGGGGTCCTGGGATCGAGCCCCGCATCGGGCTCCCTGCTCAGTGGAGAGTCTTCTCCCTCTCCCTCTGCCTGCCGCTCCCCCTGCTTGTACTCTCTCTCTCTGTCAAATAAATAAATAAAATCTTTTAAAAAAAAGAAAAATGAAAGGAAATGAATTATTTAAAGTGAAGGACACAAGGACACATACGAACATAAACAAAAGAGCTTTGCAGGACCAGGGTGAAGAGTGCCATTAACAGGGGAACGTGGTGACTGTTCTACCCCTGAAGGAGAAAAAAAAAAAAAAAAATTAACTGTCTAAAATAAGGTCCCACAAAACTGGATAAAAAATGTTAAAGACTGAGTATTTTCTCCTGGCTGTATGGGGGAGAAAGAAAAGCTACCAATTTTTAGCTACGTCTTTTGACTCCCTCAAAGCATTTATTATTTAAAAGCATTCATATTCCTAATTTTTTTTTTCAGCAACAGACCAGGCAGCCAACATGAGAACATACATCACTGTTCTCCCTCAGTGAAGATGGGCTGTGGATACAAGATGCAGGCTCACAGAGTGGCAGCTAAATGCATCTGTCTCTCTTCTTTTTTCCGTCATTTCAGATTGATTGCTTTAGGAGGTGGAACCGAGTGCCTATAAATTCATTTGAAAGTAGCAGAAAGAAGCTAACCTTGCCTACTTCTTTTGCTTTGGAATTCAGTGTACGACTCCGTCGGGAAGCTGGGGAGCAACGTTCTTAACGGAAACGTGGACAGGCTGGGATCGTACAGTGAGTGCCTCTCCACGCACGCTCCCTCGGGGGGCTTCCGAGGGCAGTATTGCAAGCTGCATGTCCTGCAGGTGAGCGTGGTGGGTGCGCACTCGTGCTCTCGGGGGACGGCTGAACTTCGCGATAGCGCACCCCGTACAAGCCCATCGCTTGTTTTTCTTAGTAAAAAAGCCCAAAACTCTAAAGATGTTTGGCAAAACGTTAAAACTAAATTGCAAACGGCTGCACTTGCATGTTCTGAGTGTGGGACGTTACAGGAGGCGGTTGTCCACAAACCGCCTGGGCCTTCAGACATTCCTCCCGCCCCATCGTATGGGGCAAGCCTTCTGGACAACCTCCGTGTAGAATCCAAGGTCAAGTCCCAGCCAATGTTTTTGGCCATTAACTCCTGACTCACCATCCGTTTTTGGAATACCAAAAGGTATCTCAGAGCTCTGAGATAGGAATTTGAGGTTATTTTAGCAGATGGGCCCAGACTTCTATGAACATCACTGCATGTGCCTGAGGTCACAGGGCTTATTATCTTCAAAGCATGAAAGTTCTTTTACTGCTGGAAAATAAAACCAGGAGCAACACAGCCTCCTGTTAAATACAAAAATAGACTTTATGACATCACACCACACTAACATAAAAATAACGGGTTGGCTAGAAACAGTCACATAAAATAGCAAGAAGAAGTCCAAGCTCTCTAATATAAATGCTATAAAATGGTCTTGCAATGGTTAACCACTGGAGATAGAGAAATTATCACCCAACTCCACTTGTCCCACTGAGGGTTATGAGAGTTTAATCAGTGTGTACAAATGTTGTATCTTATTTTTGAAGCAGATTAATGGTTTTGATATCAGAGCAAAAGGTCAGGCCTACACAATCATGTAAGTTACATGTTTAGAAGAAGCATTCCCGAAATTTTTATTTACGGTTTGATCTTTTCTTTATTGGGACAGGCATTCTAATCACGGGCTTGACTGATGAATAAAATCTTTACTTGAGATGTTGTGTCCTGTCATAGAGAAATCGCCACTTGGCAATTCTGTTGGAAATCGTAGGGCCGCCAAATCTTAATATGACCCGTTCCAGGGGGGGCAAGGGGGGGACAGATGCATGGGGGCAGATCCCACACTGGTGGTGGCTTTGTAAACAATCAGCTGCGAGCTTTGATTTCAAGATGAGTGCATCTGGTCTTCTGTAAATTTAACTCGAACCACTCTGTAACGGGACAGCCATCTCCAAAGATGTCAGCAAACTTCTTTCAATACCTTTCTCTCCCCTGTCCTAATCTTCTTAATTCTCGGGCAGCCCACAGCAGAGGCCTCAGAAAAGATGGTGCACGTATGCTGTGAACATTAAAATGAAAGAGCGTTGTGGCATTGTGTTTTCCAGGATGGAGCCGAATACAGCGTGGGTGTGTGTGTCCCTGATTCTTGTGCCGAAAAGGATGTGACTGTGATGTCTCAGTTGGGTAGGTCCGAAAGATACCCAGGGAAACTATTCTCTTAGCATAAAGTTTGAAGACTCCCAACTCCTTGGAGCCAAGAAAGGCCATTCCTTCAGGAATGACCAACCTTTCATCCTGATAAGTCCAATACCCGGAGAACAATGGCATTTTGGGGATTTGGGAATGGAGGCCAAGGGATAGGAAAGGAGTAGTAGGAAGGAGGAGAAAGAATAAAGAGAAGGTAAGGGCTGAATCTTCACACAATCAAAGTTGAAATGTAAACAATCTTCCAGGTGTCCACAGTGGCCCGGTTAGGCCTGAAGAGAGCAGGTGGGCCGTGTCGGGTTTCTATACTGTGAATGTTCTCTGCTGTGGCCCATGTGTGGGAATCTGTCAGGTGCCAATTCCAGAAGGCCATTCTGAACTGGGATTGTGTGCAGCTGATGTGTTGTCATGGATTAGCGCTAGGAGCCCCGCGTTTGGTCCTGATTGTCACCTCGCAGCTGTGTGATCCTGGGCAAATCACTTAATCTCCCCACATTTTAGTCACTTCCTCTGCACGGAGAGGGGTGGACCTGGAAGTTCAGTGTGGCTCCAACTCCCTGCGGCCTTGCAGACTCTTCTGACCTTCGCCTCACAGAATGAATACACTTCAGTTCACATGGAAACTGGTTTGGTTTCCTCTAATTCTTTCAGAGTGTTCAAAGAAAGAGTTCTAAAGCCCAGAAGTTTTACTGCTAGCATCTTTTGTATTTATTCCGGTCATCCAAATGAGAACTGACACGACACATTAAAAGGAAGACACTGGTTCTCTATACTGCCTGAACACTTCTGACACCAAATGTGTGTCTCCCCCCCCCCCCCCATTCCTCAATTCTGACACTACCTACAGAGAGTGCTGACCCCACAGGTTAAGGGCTCATTCCCGCAAGACTCTCCCCCACTAAAGACACCAATCCCAAGTAGTGGGGCCTGAGGTTACCCACACTTCTGTCTGACGTGGCTACAAATCAGGGGTTCCCATAGTATCTTCCACAGGTCTGATAATGCACTCTCATGGTTCACAGAATGCAGAGAAACAGTTTACTATTACTGGCTTATTATAAAGGAAGAGCCAAATGGAAGAGACGCACAGGACAAGCTATTGGGAAGGGACGCAGAGCTTCCTCACCCTCTCAGGGTGACCCTCCATCCCAGCACCTCGATGTGTTCACCAGCCCAGAAGCTCTCAGAAGCCCTTTGTGTAGGGTTTTCATGGAGGTTCCATTATGTAGGCACAATGGATTAAATCACCGGCCATTGGTGATTGACTCAATCTCTGGCCCTCCTGGAGGTGGGGGATGGGGCTGGAAGTTCCAATCTAATCCCAGGACTGGTTCCTCTGTCAACCAGCCCCTTCCTCCTGGAGTCATCTTGTTAGCATCAACTCAAGTCTGGTTGAAAGGAGCTTATTATGAATAAGAGCACACCCTCCTCCTACCCCTCTCACTCAGGAAATTCCAAGGGCTTTATGAGCTCCATGCCAGGAACCCAGGCGGAAGGCCAAATATAGGCTTCTTATTATATCACAATATCACACACGTATTAAACGTCTTCCTTTAAGTGTTGATATTGTGATTAGTTTTCAATAACCTGACACTGTCCTCTGAATTTATGATTATCCCTCCAGATTCGGGTCCAGTATCTGTCTCCCTAGACAAATACTTTATGTGCTGTTAAAAAGAAAACCAATTGCTATGAATTAAATCTCAATTTCAGTTCTGGTTGGCGAGGCCATCAATATCCTAGCAACAAAGATGAATGTGCAAAGTTGTTATTAGATTAGCATTTCAAGTGAATAAGTGGCTCACTCAGTCTGAGTTAATGTTCATTATTATTTAAGAGATTTATCAATTAGCCTCATTTTTTCTGGCTAATGCTAAGCTGATTAGCCAGAGTTGACATTAGAATAAAGTGGAAGGTGAGACGCTATTATCAATACAAAGATATCTTGATTGTCTTTGAGGACCTGGGAAAAGGAAGGGCCCTGCCTGGGGTGGGCCGGGCTGACAGGGGTAGATGTATTAGGGGAGCTTCCTCGGCCGTTCCCTAAAGCTTTTTGGTGGAATTGCCATTATTTCCTTTACAGCTGTGGGGGCAGCCAGCCCAGCCATGGTGCCCTGTAGCTAGCTGTCTGCAGGCCTCGCTCCCCCAGAGCAGGAGAGCAGGGGCTTCCCAGGTGGGCACCGTTGCAGACAGGCCTAGAAGAAACAAGCCCAAGGGACGCCTGGGTGGCTCAGACAGTTAAGCGTCTGCCTTCGGCTCAGGTCATGGTCCCAGGGTCCTGGGATCAAGCCCCGCATCGGGCTCCCTGCTCGGCGGGAAGCCTGCTTCTCCCTCTCCCACTCCCCCTGCTTGTGTTCCCTCTCTCGCTGTGTCTCTCTCTGTCAAATAAATAAATAAAATCTTTAAAAAAAAGAAATGAGCCCAAGATTGCAGAGAGAGGGAAGACGATTCTGGGCAGGGCAGAAGGTATTACTTCCAGGCAAAAAAACTGCACCGTGTGGTTGCCATAGGATCTTATAACATTTCAGTCACCTGACTCGGCGTGAGTTCTTGAGAATGAAAATATGTCACACCTGGGTGTTGAGAGTGTGGACCGAAAGGAAGCCAACCTCAAAGTAGGTTAGTATTTATTCGTTGTCTTCCTGAGGACAGTGGCCCAGGAGACAGTAACTCAGGTTGCCCCAAGGAAGGGCTCCGAAGCCCGTCAGCTACAGGGGATTCTACATGGGAAGCAAAAGGGGGACGCACGCTTGCAAGCAGTTCTCCAAATACGTGTGAGTCACAAGGCATAATTTGTTCAGTTGTAAAAATCAAGGTTTTCTGATTTCCACAGGGACATGTGGAAATTTTTTTTTAATTAATTTATTTATTTGACAGAGAGAGACACAGTGAGAGCAGGAACACAAGCAGGGGGAGTGGGAGAGGGAGAAGCAGGCTTCCTGCAGAGCAGGGAGCCCGATGCGGGGCTCGATCCCAGGATCCTGGGATCGTGACCTCAGCTGAAGGCAGACGCATAACGACTGAGCCACCCAGGCATCCCGACCCTTAAGTCATCTTAATACATTATATTTCTGGGGCGCCTGGGGGGCTCAGTCAGTTAAGGGTCTGATTTCGGCTCAGGTCCTGGTCCCAGGGTCCTGGGATTGAGCCCCGCATCGGGCTCCCTGCTCAGTGTGTAGCCTGTTTCTCCCATTGCTCCTCCCCGCTGCTCGCTCTCTCTTTCTCAAATAAATAAATAAAATCTTTAAAAAAAATACATTATATTTCTATCATATCTGATTGTTCCAAAATATCTCCTGCATGCCTCTGCTTAACTGGTTTTCTGGTTCTCCTTATTTTTGAGATCTCCTGGAGGCCACTTGAGAGGGTCAAGAGGCTGACAGTCACCTACCGAAGCTTTAGTGCATGAGAGTCTAGATAAAAGGTGGGTGTGATGACCACAAATGCAGTTATTGGCTGGTTCCCCGACAGCTCACATCGCGGTATGTCGCCTCACTTGCAGTGTTCTGTTTGGCTCCTGGAACAAAGCGCCACAACACAGGGTGGAGCGCGTCCCTCCCATCTTTACTTCTGTGGCCCCAGGGCATTCCTCCCTGTGGGTCTCTCCGTTTCCAAATTTCCCTCTGTGTATAAGGACACAGGATTTAGGGCGCACCTACATCCTAACCTAGTAAGACCTCCTCTTAAGTTGATTACTCTGCAAAGACCCTATTTCCCATAAGGTCATCGTCACAGCCCCGAGGGGTTAGGGCTTGGACCCTTTGGGGGTGGGGGAGGGAGAGACACAATTGAAGCAGAATCGTGTTCAACCCAGAACACTACCTAATGCCTTGTGCCTAGTTTGGCTAGATATCAGAGGTCCTTTAAACACGGCAGGGGATCGGGAACATGGTGACTCACAGCCACAAATCCTGGGGCCCTACACTTAGAATGTGCTTGAGAAACATCAGGCAAATCCGCCTGGAGTTGAATGGAGAGCAAACAGTTGGCTCTGGTCACAGGGACAGCACAGAGCTGGAGAAGAAGGGGCTGGGGAAGGGTCTGTGAACGCCGAGTTAGCAAATTTTATCCAGACTCAACTTTGAAGGGCTACGTATTTCCATTCTTAAGGACTCACTCTCAGTCTGTCTCCTGTCCTCATGGAAATTTTATAACATTATATGGCGGCCACCCTGTCTCTGTTGGCAGTGACCCAAAGCAGTGAGAACCAGGCTGCCTACCATCAATGTGTAACCATCCCTGATATGTGTCCTTTTTCCTGTGCTGTTAGGCTAACTTCATCTCGCCCTGCCTAGTATAATCAAGATTATGAGGCCTACATAGAACAACAGTTCTAGCACTTCGAGGGGTGACTTCTTCCCCCACCCCTGTCTCGCAGGGATTCCCTGAGCGCTGACTGAGAAAATGGAGCTATTTTATTTTATTTTAAGATTTTATTTATTTATTTGAGAGAGAGAGAGCGTGCGCGCGCATGTGCGCAGGGGGAGGGGGAGGGGGAGAGGGAGAAGTAGGCTTCCCGCAGAGCAGGGAGCCCGATGCGGGGCTCGATCCCAGGACCCTGGGATCATGACCCGAGCCGAAGGCAGTCGCTTAACCGACTGAGCCACCCAGGTGCCCCTAAAATGGAGCTATTTTAATAATGACTCCCTGAACTACCCACAGAAGCGCCTCAAAAGGAATCCAAAACATTTCACAGAATACCATGTTGTGTTCTCAGTTTAATTCAGGAAATATGTCCCGAGTACGTTTGCCTCTGGCCTTTGTGGGAGATCACATGTGTGTGCAGAGTGGGGAGAATCGAAAGCATTGGGAGTCACTCATTTGGGGAACCCTCCAATTTAGTGAGTAGGAAAAGGCCGTGTGTGCCCGAAGTGAGAGGCGGTCAGGAAGTACCCACGGGAGCTCCCGGGGAGAGCGTGGGACAGGCGGTCGTGAAGGGGAGCTCTGGGGAGCCGCGGGGTTGGGGGCAAGAGCCACACTGGAGGGGGCAGAAGGGGACGCGCGGGCCTGAGCGGGCCTGCGAGAGCGAAGGGGCTGCTGATGGTGCGGGACGAGATGTTGGTGGGAAACAGATCAGAGGTCCCCCATTCCCCTGTATAGACCTAGAATCTGGCCGTGTAGACCCTTAGCTTCAGTTGACTGCACACAGGCTGCCAGCTGGATTTATTAACTACAGCAGGATTTGGCACAGGGTGTTGGCACTTCCCCTCGGTGCTGCTAGGACCGAGGACATCGAGTCCGGTCATTTGGGGAGGGCGGCCGTGCCCAGCAGACCCAGCCGTCCGCAGGCAGCCCCATCCGGAGTCTCGGCTGGGTTCCCGGGGCCCGCACTGCCTCGGCCCCTGTCGCCACCTGGCGGGTCTCTGTGTTTAGGTGGCTAGGGCTGTCCCTAACAAAATACCACAGACCGGGGGGCTTAGCACCAGACATGCATCTCTCCTGGTTCTGGCGACTGGAAGTCCCTGGTCCCGGGGGGCGGCTGGGCTGGTCTCTCCCAAGGCCTCTCTCCTGGGCTTGCTCGCTGGGTGTGTGCTCACATGTGTGTGTCCAGTCTTCCTTTCATACAAGGACACCGGCTGAATTGGATACTGTGATGGCCTCGTTTTCACTTAATCACCTCTCTAAAGGCCCTACGTCCAAATACAGTTGCAATCTGAAGTCCTGGTGCTTAGGGCTGCAACATAGGAATTTGGGGGATGGAAGGGGGCACAATGCAGTCTGTAAGAGTCTCTTCCCAGAGGCCCTTTGATTTTAGGGCCTCCAGGGCCCAATTCTGTTCTACTCACTCTCTCCTCTCCTGACACTTGGCCCCCCGGAGTCCTGTGATCTCCCCAAGAGGAGGGTACGCGCCTTGGGGGCAGGGGGAGTGGTGTCTGCAGTGCAGCCCTCGGACCTAGGCCCCCCACTTTAGGGACCACTCCTCCGGCTTTCCGCTGGCTGTGTCCTCCCCGATGAGATGTCTGTGGGATCAAGGGGACATGCCCACCTTCCCCTTCTCTTCCAGTCACACTCTGAGTATCTAGAACCCCAGAATTCCCTGCCCAGCTGGCTGCCAGCCCCCCCTCTAAGGGGGTGCTGTGGGAGAGGGTCAGGCAGGTGGGGCTTAGGTTGTCCACACTCCGCAGGTAAGGCATTTGGTGGTATAGGAGCAGGGAGAAGGTGGGAAGAGAGAAGTGGTGGGCCGGGAGCTGGAGGGGGCCACCCTGCAGAGCCTCCCCACCGTGTGTTCTTACCCCTGAGGGAATGGGGAGGATAGGCCTGAGTGTCTGGAGGCCGAAGCTGATGATGACTTCAGTGTAACCAAGTTTAATTGTTTGGTTACCTCCCCCAGCACACACACACACACACACACACATGCACACACATGCGCACACACACACACTTACACACACTTACACACACAGCATCGTTCTGGCTTCTTGGCTCGGCCAGAGCTAGCCCGCGGTTTACAAGTGTAAGTATCCAGCCCCCTGGAGTATCTTTGGGGTCACGAGGGCAGTGTTAACCCTCCTCTGTCCTTCAGGGTCTGGACACTGTTGCTCAGTGCTTCAGACTCCATCCAGGGGCAAGCGCTGACTCCAGAAGGGGTTCCCCTGAGGCAACGGAGGTGAAGTGGGTTGTAACTTGCTTTAATAGGCTTTGGGGCCTGTGAGGCAGCCCCCCTAGGATCCAGATGCAGGAAGATGATCGTTGGAGACAACTGGGAACATTTTCTGGCTGCTATGAAGCCTGTGCTTCTTGAGATAGGAAGAGTCAGACCTAAGGAAAAGCAACTTTTTAAAAAACAATGGAAGATGAAGGAAGTGTAATCTGGAAGGCCAGACATACACGTTATCATTCTGTTCCTACTTCTGTTGTCTTGTACTTCTTGTTACATTCAGGGCCCTAAGTTACATTTTTTTAAAAAGGTTTTTAAGGGTGTAGATAAACTACGAAGCTTTTTGCCATCTTGATTTTGGATTTCCCTGTGGCCCCCAGTACGTGCTGTGCAGTTAAGGCTGACAAAGGAAGGTTCTGGCTGCTGTGGTCTCCGAGGAGGTTTGCAGGTCCCTGCAGGGACGGAGCTGGGCTTTGCCTCGTAGGTCTGGGAGGTTGACTTTCTCGGGGCGTCCGGAGTCATCAGGCTAGAGGGTCTGATTCACATGGCCCGGAGGCTCCGGAGTGGGTCATGGATCAAACAGAAGGCCAGTTGATTCCTTTTAAAATTCCAGCGAGGACGGACATGGTGGCTGGTCTATATGCTTCTGTTTCAGTGGAAGAGTTTATTTGGTAAATTCAAGTACAACCAGGCAGTAGCCGTTGGGCGGGGGGTGGGCATTGATTCAGAGCAAATGGAATCGGATACTGAGGAAACTGCCACCGTGTCCCCTCTGGGGACCTGCTTGATGGAGCACCCTCACCCTTGGCCAGTGCTGACGACACGTGGACAACCCCTCCTTCCTGTCTCCATCCTTAACAGGTCACGATTAAGAATCACAATTAACACATATTATTAATCTTGTAGTGACCTATTGGGACATTTCAGAAACCCTCTGGTCACACTCATGGAGGTAGAAGGACCTTAGAAGACACCGTGTCCAACCCACCCTTCCTCATTAGCCAGAGGAGGAAATGAGACCCAGAGAGGTGAAGTAACTTACCCAGGGTCACACAGCAAGCAGGCTCAAACCGAAGCCTCCTGAATGCAAGTCTAGGCAACGTGTTGTGGTGAAATGAGGTAGCGTGAGGAAATAAAAAGACCGCACTCTTCAGGTTCATACAGACCTGAGTGGGTTCCGTCCCTGCCACTTAGCAGCAATAATAGAGACAGCAATGTTTATTGAGCTCTGACTGTACCAGGCACTTCCTAAGTGCTTTATAGCTATTGCTACATTTGGTTCTCACAACAACCCTATAAGGAACTGTTATCTCCATTTTACCAAGGGGGAAACTGAGGCACAGAGCAATGAAGTCACTTGTCCATGGTCATATTATAAAGAGTAGATACAGGCCCTCAAACTGCAGAACCTGTATTCTTAGCCACTTAATACTCATGCTTATGTGCACGAGTATCCGAGGAGAATTTTCCTTGTCTGTAAAATAAGGTAAATAATAGTTTCTTGTAGGTTGTTGATGGATTAAAGATAATGTCCAAAACATGTCTCATACCTAATGGGCACTTAATATTTTATTTTTTTGGTATTTATCATTGCCACTCCCCAACATTTGCCGAAGTTCTGGAAGCTCCCTGATCCTGTGGTGCTCAGCGTGTGTGCTCTGATCAGCAGCACGAGCACCTGGTTTCTTGTTAGAAATGGAAATTCTCAGGTCCCACCCCAGACCTACTGCATCAGCCCGCAGGGAGGGGAGACAGGGAGCAATCTATGGAGCAACCCTCTAGCTAATTCTGGGGCACGAGAAAGTTCCAGACCACGGTCCTCATCTTACCACTAAAATCCCTACTAATTACTTGCAGTGACCATGAGCTGTGCCCTGAGTTGGTGCTTCTGAGTTTCCATTTTAAACTGCACCTTTCCCCGGCCTGTGGGCTTCCACTGTATTTTTTCATTTCATATTGCATTTATCTCTCTCTTGTGGGAACCTGTTTGCAAACAGATTTGAGCTGGCCATGGCACCTTTTAGGATTGTCCTTCCCAGTGCTGTGCTGGGAGAGGATTCGAGAGTCTGGGCGGGCTACAGATTCTGGAGAGCACGGTCCACATCGCGCTGGACTGAGTTCCTCCTCCTGTGAATCTCAGCATCTTCGTGCCTTATTTTCCCCATCTGTACATCAGATATGTGAAAAGCCAGCTGCCCTGTTTAATGTCAAAGTTTTGTTTTGAAATAATAGATATGAAAGCTCTTGGAAAAGTTTATTTATTGCAAAATAAAGTATTATTAATACAATCTCTCTTTTTTTTCCCTTGGTAGATATTTTAAGATTCAGAAATACTTCATTTTTGGCCCCTTCTCTTTCTCTCTTTACAATAAATTCTTCCTCCTCATCTGGCGTGGTTGTGGCTAGATGCGCTACTGGAATGTTCCCCTTCGACACCTTTGTTGCCGTGTGTCTGTGAGTATGGGCATCTGGGGTACCTGGTTGGGATGTGTATGTCGGGGCTATGTTATCAACTTCCGCTCACCAACGACGCATAGTCAATTAATTTTCATTCCTGAATGATGTCTGGCCAACGTTCCATGGGGAGATCACCGTGTACCTTAAACGAGAAAATTCGGAAATGTTCAAGAGGAAGGCTGACCACACCCACATGTGATTGAGTTTCAGAGTCACTGAGAAATGTATCCTGTCCCAAAATAGTCCTGTTCCTGTCATGTGACTTCTGAAGATTAATTTCTTTTATTTGAGGCATGGCTTCTCCCACAAACACCTCAGCAATCCTACCTGTTACTTTTTGTTTGCATCATGCATTGGTCCTCCGGACAAGCTAATAGAATTGCTGGCCTGTAGCTGGAATAATTGGTAAGAGGCTTTCCTGAAAACCTCACTTATATAACTGCCCCTCCTGGGAGACGTCCATGTCTTTAACACCACCCCGTCACCTGCATCAAAGGCTACCTTTATAAAAACTAGTACCAATTTGATCGATTAAATAAATTGGTTTAATGAACATTTTAAAAAATTGGTAACAAGGAGTTCTTTCCCCCAAGTTCAGCTGCTATTCCTACTTTTCACTCCTGTTTCTATGCATGTGTGTGAGTTGGGTTCTTATTCATTTTGAAACTATATAATTCAGGTGAAAGATATGAATCCTTAGTCATATCAGCCGCAAGTATCTTCCTCAGTGTTTGGGTTGCTTCTGTTTATTTATTTATTTATTTTTTACAATTATAATAAGGAATTTAGTGAAATCCATTCATCTTTGCTTTTATCATTTCTTTCATTATTTATTCTAGAACGCCACTCCCACCCCTTAAAACTGTTAGATATTTATCTGTGTCTTAGTCGGGGGCTTGAGTGGTTTGTTTTTCACTGGGCTCGTTTCTCTCATGTTCCCGTGGCATTGGTGTGAGGGGAGGCTTGGTCACACCTGTCTTCTCCCTGCAGGTGCCTCACCTTGCTGGGCGTCGTCCTGCCCCTGGCCGGGACTGTCTACGTGGCATTCAGGGGGAGGGGGTCTGACGACAGGGCGCCACCCACCCCTCCGGCCCCTGACAGGAGTCTGCCTTTGAGAGAGACACAGAGGACTGAACCGAGAAGCAGAGCGGGTTGCCCGGCCCATCTCTCACTATCAGGAACCCCAAGCAGAGGAAAAAGTAGGCATTTTAAGAAACTAACACCACTCATGAGAGGTGACTCAGATGAGTCGCAGTTGGAAAATAAACCCTGCGGTGCCGGAATCTGGTGAATGCCCCACGGCTTCTAGATGCCAGTGTGGAGGTTGGGTCTCTGCTCTTTACAATGCGGTCTTTGTTTGCTATCAGAGTGTTAAGGCAAGGCCGCTGGAAATGCTGCTTTCTTTCTCGGGGACAATTATCCAGTGTGTCTTTGTGCTACCCAAGGACTAGGTCAGAGCAGAGCTTGGCTTTCACTGGAGTAATCCTTTCGAGAACAATTCCATGATCCCAGTGTCTATTTTCAGTGTCGCAACTATGCAGATGACTCACAGAACCCCCCTGGCATCACTAAGGTAAAGGATTTACGTAGAAATCAAAGCCGGGGGTAAGTGCGCAACTGGCTAAAGGCGGGCGGAGGGTAGCTGAGCCAGAGCGAGATACCCCACCTAGTGAAGGGAGAGCTGGACGGCAGTGAGCGGTTGGTCACCTTGTGATGTGTTTCAGGGACAAGTCAAGAGCATTTCCTTCATTTCTGCCTGCCCATATGGCAGGGCAAAGACCCCCCCCCCACACTCTGAAACAAGAATAGTGTCCTCGTGCAAACACCTTTAGGACATGGGGAATCATGTTCAGCAGAGCCCCTGCAGGGGCACAGAATTGGCCTTCCCTTCTTCCAACTAAGGGGATAAAAAATAAGACACAATTTCAATGAATGGGCCGAAAGATTATGAGTATGTGATCAAGTAGCTTCAGGGAGTATGTCCCCTGTGGAGGGCACAGTGATGATTTTATCCGATCCTGTTTGGGATCTTCAGGCAAAACCAAAAACAAAGGTACCACCACCACAAACTCCCAACGGCAAGGAAAGCAACACAAAGCGTGTTTGTGTCAGGATGATGTAACAGAAGAGCTGAGAACGCTCGCCCTCCTTCCCAAGTCAGAAGGCGGTCCCTCTGCACCCATGGTCATCATCGTGGGAAGCGTTCATTGTTAAGCTCCTGCGCGGAGTCAGTCCCTGCTGCTCTGTAATTTCTACTCACAGGCCCTCGTTTGGCCCTTCGACTTGGTCTCTTGTTTCTATTCCTCCACATCAGATACTGGGGACCAGTTATGATGGGCTCCCCCAAATCTCAGAGCCCATCAGTGTCTCCTCATGTGATGTGGTTCAAGAACTCGGCTGCCCGGCTGCCACATAGAAGGTTCCATGGGCATGGCAGAAAGAGCCCATGCTTAGCGATCCCTGGTTAGACCTGCCTTGGTTTCTAACTCTGCCCTTGGTCAGGTTGTCTGACCTCTAGGAAACTCAGTCTCCACCTGCGTAAAATGGGGGCATACAGTGGGATTTGTTGAGGGAATTAAACGAGATAATGTGAACTGTCCTCCTCCTGATTCGTTGCTCTTTTCCTCATTCTCTTCCCTTAAGCCAGAAGCGGGAAAGGGGAGCAGCTTTAATTGGCCAACCCCTCTCGCTAACACTGACCTTGCTGAGGTCAGCTGGGTTCCAGGCACCTGCCGCATGCTTCTAGTTATCAGACGGAGGGTGAGCCTGCAGTCCCCAAAATTTACCTTTGCCTATTATTAGTTGGAAGGCTGAGCTTCGGAGCTTGGCATTTTAAGGCCAGATCGCAGGATTTTAGGCAGACACACCTGGTAGGGAGTCAGCAATCAGCCACTGAAACATTAGGGTTTTAGCCCAAAATAAGACTCTCTATGATCAGGATACGAAGGTTATGTTAGCTTTTTCAGCAGCTACACTTAAGTGTGGCTTCAGAAAGGTGTATGGGGTGGGGGGGGTTCCATGTTCTGTTGCTGTAGCAATTTTTTTGTATTTAATACCATCAGTAAAATATCACATCCTGAGTGGTTGGAAATAAAAATCGACATGGAGAGAGCCCCAGGGTCCGCATCTTTTTTCCTTTCCACTTTTCCACTCACCAGCGAGTCAAATCAACTTAAGACTACCGTGTCTTCTAGAAGCTTAGAGCCAAATTGGGTATTTCAGATTCCTGGTTCTTTATCCTCCAAATAATCATTGCATTCGCTCAGAGCGGTTTCCTGTTACATGAGCCTGTCCTTTCCTACTTAGATGAGAAAAATATGAGTGCATGTTTGGGGAAGTTTCCATGAACTAAATAGCTGTGGATTTCAGCCTCTGGAAGTCAGGGCTCTTAATCTGTGTTTGGTCACTTGAAGTGAGCTCACAGTAATAATCACTGAGAAAATCCAAAGGGGCCGCAAAGTTTTCCAAAACACCATCACACCCTGTGGTTCTCCAACTTCGGGAGCCTCAGAAGCACCTGGAGGGCTTGTCACAGCCCAGGTTGCTGGTCCTGACCCTCAAAGATTCTGAGGGGGTAGGTCTGGCGTGGGGCCTGGGACTGTGCCTTTCTAACAGGTTCCCGGGTGATGCTAAAGCTGCTGGACTGGGGACCCCCGCTTTGAGGACCACTGACCACATGCGTCATTTCAACCGATCCTCCCCATGCCCCTTCGGCTTCTCCTTTCCATGTACGAATGAGTACAAGGGGCTCAGAGAGGCTGTCCTCCCCAAAGACCAGTTATTTTCAGACAGTGTTATAAGCTGCTACTAGTTAAGTTCACCCACAAGCAGAATTTAGCTGGAAAAAAAATCAAATGGTAGCAAAATGTATTCAGTACTCGCTTGCCAAGGTAGGCGTCAGGCCAGATGTTTGACAAACGTGCTCAAAGGCTCACAAGAGCCCTGCCAAGAAGCCTGCTCAGTTTAAAAGTGAGGGAAGAGGTCCTGAGAGGCGGAAGAGTGGGTGAAACTGGGCAGAGTCCGGGGCCGTATCTCTCCACAGTGGCACGTGGCTTCTCGGGAGCCGAGGGGGGCCGGGACTCAGGACATAGGACACGGCTGATTGTGCCATGCCAAGTGCTAGTGAATGAAAATCCCTCTGTCGGGGTGAGCTCCGTGCCTTCAGGCAGGAACACTGGAGAGTGACTCCGAGGGAAAAACTCCTATTTACAGCTGGAGCCTCAAAAAGTTTGGCAATTACATTCTCCCATTTAAGAAACTGAGTTAGAGTTCCAGCACCTGGTTATAAGCCAGATCTCATCTGTAAATAGGTCTCAGTTCTGCAACCTTGCACCTGCAATGTGGAAGCGCCAAGCCACATCCAAGAGAAAGTATGAGTCCCTTGGAGCGGCTTGAGCCTTCCTTTGGAGGTTCCCGGTTCACAATTCCAGCTCTCTGGAATTAATCTAAGTGAGTCCAATTAAAATTTTTTAGAAATTAGAAGGAATAAGTTAAGTGGAAGGGATTAAAGCTATAGGGCTTAACGAGTGAGTAGATCAGCTGTTATGTCATCTCATTGGTTCTTCATGTGAATCCTAAGATTGTAAGATCTGCTTTGATTCCCATTTCGTAGATGTGGAAACATAGGCACAGAGAGGTTAACTCACTTGCCAGAGGTTGCAGAGCATCTAACAAAGGACAGCCAGGTTCAGAGCCAGGAGCATCTACCTAGAGGGCCAGCCTCCTTAACTGCTGTGCTACGTGCCCCTCTGTTTTCATCCCTGTACTTGACAGCTAGGGATGTGGTTTGCAAGTAGTTCAGTCTTGGAAGGACAGAAGGAATGCCATTCCAAGTGGAATGCTGGCTTTATGGAGCATGCGGTTTCTGAATGATGTCTAAGACACCCCCCCCCCCGCCAACTTTGTAAAACAGGACTGGGGTCAGGGGTTGGCATCCCTGGGGCCTGAGCTTGGGCAGTGTATTCCGGGCACCGACCTCAGGGCACGCATGTTAGGGCAAGTCAAGGTTTACAGTGGAGGGAGACCCCATCCGAAGGTGCACAGATAGATCAAGAGGGGACCATGGAGAACTGGGTTGAGCAGTCCAGGGTCACAGCAAAGGAGTGTCTGTGTGACAACCGAGATCACCCACGGTGTGTGTGTTTTGACTCGTTTGTGGGGCAGCGTGTGGATTGATCTGGCTTTCAGGGTGGACGGTAACACCTGCGCTCTTGTCCAGGATTTTTAGGAGCCGTGGAGCATGCTCTGACATGCTTTTCTTGGCAGAAGAATGTGCCGGCCGTCTGGACAACAGAGACTCCAGGGAGCCCGTGCTCTGTGCTGAACGGCATCCGGGTTCTGAGTCTCCTCTGGATCATGTCGGGGCACACCAGTCAGATGACTGCATGGCTGTCTTTGGGTGAGGAGAACCGATGAGTCCTTATGAGCAGTTGAGGAAGAGAGCTTTCCCGTGAGGGGAGTCTGTTGGGGCTGCAGCCTTCCCCAAGAGCAGCCTTCCTTCTATTTCAGAGAGATAGCCATGACCTCTCACAAGTGACTTTCCCAGGCCGGTGCCCAGCGGTCGCTTTACCTCCTCCCGGGTGTGAATCAGGCCCCTATGAACAGGTGAACAGCGATACCTGAGGATGGCATATTCCTTGTCCAAAGAGCTGGATTCCTCCTGGTAATGATGAATGAATCCAGAAGCTAACGTTTCTTTCTCCTGGAAAAATAGTCAAGCGTAAATAAATATCGTGCATTGGTGTTAAATTAGTGTTTCTCGGCCTTCTGCCTGCGGCCTCACCCCCGAAGCACCGCTGGAAGGAGCCGCTCTTTGTAAGCGGGGCCAGCACGTGGGGCGGAGTTGAGGGGAGGGGCTGGACTGGGGGGGTTTGGAGAAGCCCCCCGGCGATGTGCACCAGCCCGTGGCGGTGGGGTGACGCTGCCGAGCCCCTGAGCTGCGGGCACTGGGCGGGTAGGAAGCGGCTCAAAGCCTTGGTTACGGGCCCATGGTAGGCACTATCAGGTGTCTTGGTCACCATTTCTTAAGCCCATCTACCTTCGCCTCTCAAGCTGTGGGGCTGCACAACATCCTCCTGAAGCTATGAGAGTTGAAGGCGGTTCCTCTTGCTTGTTCTGAAAACCTAAATCACAGGACTTTCTGCTGGGAAACAAAAAGACACGGTTTTCATGTTTGTTGCAGATAACGTGCTCGAGTGGAAAACCAGAGTGCCTAAAAACCCACTGTACCTTTGTTCTCGGAGCGGCCCGTTCTATCTTGGGGTTGACACATTCTTCCTGGTCAGGTAATCGGGTGTTTTTTCCGCTGTTGTGCACATGTTTGTCTGGGGATGTGTGCGTGTGTGTGATGCTGTCATCGCTCCAGTGAGAAATACTGAACGGCTCACACTGATTTACTCCCTTGACCTTTGCTTCTGTCCGACTGTAGATAGCTGTAGACTGTTGTCATCAGCTCCTCTCTTCTGTATCTTCAGTTTGTTAAGTGAGGTAGGATGGCTCTCTAAAATTTTCTTTAAGATCTTATTAATTTTTTTTTTAAAGATTTTATTTATTTATTTGAGAGAGAGAGAATGAGAGACAGAGAGCATGAGAGGGAGGAGGGTCCGAGGGAGAAGCAGACTCCCCGCCGAGCAGGGAGCCCGATGCGGGACTCGATCCCGGGACTCCAGGATCATGACCTGAGCCGAAGGCAGTCGCTTAACCAACTGAGCCACCCAGGCGCCCCAAGATCTTATTAATTTGTTCGAGAGAGAAAGCGTGAGCTAGAGAGTGAGAAAGAGCATGAGCAGGGGGGAGGGGCAGAGGGAGAAGCAGGCTTCCCGCCGAGCAGGGAGCCCCATGTGGGGCTCGATCACAGGACCCCAAGAGCATGACCTGAGTCGAAGGCAGACGCTCAATCGACTGAGCCACCCAGGCGCCCCTCCAATTCTTTTTTTTTACAAAAGGTGATTTTATCTGAATCAAAGTTGTTTATCTCAGTGGTTCTCAAATTCTGGCCCATGGACTGATGCAAATCTGTGATAAAGTTGCCGGTTCTCACTAGAGTGAAATGTGAACAAATCTGAAAATGGTGTGACATTTCAGAAAGCTTTCTCTATTTAAATGAACTACTAAGAGGTACATTTTCTTAATTGTGTGATACATGTCAGGCACTGTGTTAAGTGTTGCAGCATTACCTCACTTAATCCCAACGATGTCCCCCTAACAGGGGACCACAACATCCCCATTTTCTTCCTTTTTTGTTGCTAGGGTGAAATTCACAGCGTATCATAAAATTAAGCGCCTCAAGTGAACAATTCAGCGGCATTTAGTACATTTCCGGGATTGTGCAACCACCTCTTCTAACTAGTTCCAAAACATGTTCAGCATCCCCAAAGGAGATCTCGTACCCATTAAGCGGATCTTCCCCACTCCCCCACCCCCCAGTTCCTAGAAATCTGCTCTCTGAATCTGTGGATTTACCTCTTCCAGGTATTTCGTATAAATGGGCCACAGAGCGTCTGGCCTTTTTGTGTCTGTTTCTTCCACTTAGCGTGATGTTTCTGAGGCTCATGCACATTGTAGCACAACTCAGTACCTCATTCCTTTTTATGACCGAGTAAGATTCCATTGTATGGATGGACTACAAAATCTCTACTTTAAAGGTAACTGAGGGAGCTAGTCCTGGCGCTGACCCGCTACCCAAACCCAGGCAGGCTGACTCTGGAGCCCCTGTTCTCTGTCACCGTGAGGACCTGCCTCTACCTCTTTGGGGTTAAATGTCTCTTCCTTCACAGAGAGATGGTGACAGTAGATGGCACTTGCTTCCATCAAATGCTAGGCATTCATCCATCCAACCATCATCTACTGAATTCCTGTTTGCTGGGCATCGTTCTAGGCCCTGAGGATACAACCATGGATAAAACAAAGGAGGACTTCTTGTGGTCCCAAGACTGTGTGTGTGTGTGTGTGTGTGTGTTTGTCCAGCAATAAGCAAACAAACAAGAAAAAATGTGGTAGTAATAAATACTAGGAAAGAATAGAACAGTGGTTTGTGAGAGCGAGTGGGTACCTATTTAGAGTCGTCAGAGAAGGCTTGTCTGTTGAGGGGCTGCTGTTGGATCTGAGCGGCAAGAAGGAGCCAGCCATGGGAAAAATCCAGGACGGAAAAGCTTCAGGCAAACTGAGCCACTGGTGCAGATGAGCTAAGGGGAGAGAGAGAGAGAGAGCGCCCCGATAAAGGAGCAGAAAGAAGGCTGAAGCATAGTGAAGGTGGGGAGAATGGGAGGAGAGGAAAGAGAGTGAGCCACGCAGGGCCAGACCACAGAGGACCTTGTAGCAAGACTCAGGAATTTGGACTTCTGTCTCCGTGGAACAGGAAGTGGTTGAATAGCTTTCATTTGAAAAGCGGTATCATCTGATATCTTATTTTATTTTTTTATTATATTTTTAAAAAAGATTTTATTTATTTATTTGACAGAGAGAGAGAGATAGTGAGAGCAGGAACACAAGCAGGGGGAGCAGGAGAGGGAGAAGCAGGCTGCCCCACTGAGCAGGGAGCCCGATGCTGGGCTTGATTCCGGGACCCTGACTGACTGTGGGTGGGGGGCCTGCACAGTGGCTGGGGATCAGGAGAGGTCCCAGTCATGAGAGGGGATCCGAGAACACGTCTACATTACATGCTGGGAACGACCAAAGAGGAGCGACATGGGGATGGATGCTCAGATTGTTGTTGGCCAGACAAGGGAGCAAGCTCTGATGAGTGCCTCCTAGTTTTTTTTCATTTTAAAGTCTATGACATGCCGAAGCGTACGAACCACTGACCCACCAGATTAGGAGAGAACCAGCTCGCAAACAGAAGCAACAGGAGGCTGAGGATGCCCATCATGCCTGCAGCACTTACTTCCCTGAGCCGCTGTGGCTAGCCCCCTCCTTCAGGCGCTTGCTCAAATGCTGCCTTCCCCCCGCACCATGCTCGTGCCCCCTGTTTAAAATGGACCCACCGGCGCTATTAACTTCCTTTTTCCTAATTTAACTTTTCTCTTTATCTAACATACCTAGAGATGCCACTTACTTATTATTTCTGTATTTATTGCCCATGTCTCTCCCCTGGAATATAAGGCAGGACTTTCTTCTGTTTTGTGTCCTGCTGTCCCGCCAAAAACAGTGCCAAGAGTATAGTATTGCTCAATAAGTAGTGGTTGAAATGATTTCTTTCTTTCTTTCTTTTTTGGAAATGGTTTCTTAATTGTTTTAGCTCAAGCCTCTCTTGTGATAGTTTCTTGGGGGAATGCAGAGAAAGTAGGGTACAGAATGAGCTGAGACCTGGCCGCCAGGGCAGAGCTTATGCTAGGAGGTGGCCAGGGTGACTGTCGAGTGGCCCAGACAGGCGAGGGTCAGAGGCCACCATCTGCAGTGATATGGGAGCCAGTAGGTACCAGACTTTCCAAGAGGGCACAGCTGGGCCTAACCAAGGCAGGCAGAGCCCAGCTGCGGGGGACCTGGACCGGCCCCTGGTGGGTGGGGAGGTCTGCCCAGGGGACAGCATTCAAAGTCCAGAACTGTGTTCCCTGCAAGAGGACTAGTAAGAACAAGGCAAAAGGAAAAAAAAAAAAAAAAGACACCAAATGCTGGATGGGGCTGATTGGCAGAGCTCCAAACCGTGGGAGGGAAGCTGGCAAGGCCAGATCGGGATGCTGGAACCAGAGCCAAAACTCAGGCTGGAGGATTGCCACCAGGAGGGAAGAATGAAGGCCTGAAGAGCCACTGGTCATGCCTGGACTCTCGGTGCGAATCTCTGAGACAATAGGGACACCACCGGGTCAGTCCTAAGATACCCACAACACAGGCCAAGGCTATGAAATTTCAGATGTCCGAGAAAACGACAACTAGGCGCCCCTTTATAGTAAAGGCTACATATCTGACCCCAGGCTCGCTCTGGGGCCTGAGGAGTGCCGGGCCTCTTATCAGTGGTTCTCAGAGTCTAGTCCCAATGCAGTTGGACTAGCCTCATCTGGAAGGTTGTTAGAAATGCAGATTCCCAGGCCCATCCCAGGCCCACTGACTCACAGTGTCCTTGGGGTGCCGTTGCCTCCTGCTAGAGTCCGGGGACCACTGCGTGAGCCTCGGCATAAGGAGCTGAGGACGGCGGAGTGGAAGCGAGCAGCTCCTGACCCGGCCTAAGAGGCCAAGACATCTGTCTCTTTTCTCTTTATCCCTGTTTGCTTCTATTTCTCTTTGCCTGTCTCAGTAACTGTTTTCTTCCCCTCCAGCATTCATTTTGTTTACTTTAGAAAGTGCACATTGGGGCACGAGGGTGGCTTGGTCGGAAGAGCAGTCGACTCTTGACCTTGGGGTCGTCGGTTCGAGCCCCACATGGGGAGTAGAAAGGACTTAAATAAGTAAACTTACAAAAGAAAAGAAAGTGCACATATTCTCTTAAATAAAATTTTCATTTGGACAATGGAAATATTACTAAGGGATGCCTAGTATCGCCTTCGTGCTAAGAGCCTACAATCTTTTATTCCATATACAATAAACCCAGGAAGTTAGAACGAATTTCATGCCCATTTTTATAGCTGAGAAAGTTGATGTGCAGAGATGAAATAACTTGCCTCAGTCTCCC